ACTCGAACCGTAGCATCGCCACCTTCGCCATTACCACACTCCTCAAAACGGGCAACGAGTCTTCGGTTGACAGGCTGATGAAGCAGATCACTGGCTTCATGGCTGAGATCACCGACGAGTTCAAGGTCACCATTGTGGAAGCTGTCCGAACATTGGCACTGAAGTTCAAGGCGAAGCAGTCCGGCTTCCTTGCTTTCCTCAGCGGCATTCTGCGTGACGAAGGCGGCTACGAGTTCAAGCGATCCGTTGTCGAGGCTATCATGGACCTCATTCGCTTCGTACCTGAGGCCAAGGAAGATGCGCTTGCCACACTTTGCGAGTTCATCGAGGATTGCGAATTCACAAAGCTCGCCGTCAGGATTCTATTCGTACTTGGACGTGAAGGTCCCTCAACACCACACCCTACCAAATACATCCGTTACATCTACAACCGCGTAGTCCTAGAGAATGCGATCGTTAGGGCTGCGGCGACCTCTGCTCTGTCCAAGTTCGGCGTCGGACAAAAGGACCCCGAAATCAAGAAGTCTGTCCACGTCCTCCTCACAAGGTGTCTGGACGATGTTGATGACGAGGTCCGTGATCGCGCTGCGCTCAGTCTTCGTTTGATGGACCAGGAGGACGACGACATGGCCGTTAACTTCATTCGTAACGACTCCATGTTCTCCCTTCCTGTTCTTGAGCACCAGCTGGCCATGTACGTCAGTTCAGATTCCCGCGACACCTTCGAGACAGCCTTCGACATCACCAAAATCCCCACAGTCTCGCGCGAGCAAGCAGATGCGGCAGACCTTACCAAGAAAACTGAAGGCGCTACTCCAACACTCAAAGCACCCAGTGCTACCAAGGCACCTTCGAAAGCTGGTGCCGATGCTGCCGCAAACGCAGCATCGAACGCGCAGAAATACGCTACAGAACTGCAAAAGATTCCAGAACTGGCTGCGCACGGCGGCGTGCTCAAGTCAAGCGATGTCGTCGAGCTCACAGAATCCGAGACCGAATACGTCGTCACTGCCATCAAGCACATCTTCAAGGACCACATTGTCATTCAGTACGACATCAAGAACACTCTTGAGGACACAGTATTGATGGATGTTGAGATGGTTGTTACACCGGAAGACGATGGTGACGTGCAATTAGAAGAAGAGTTTGTCATCCCAGCGCCAAAGCTCGTCACCAACGAGCCTGGTACAGTCTACGTATCTTTCAAGCGCCTGGAGACCGAGTCGCAGTTTATCGCCGCCAGCTTTACCAACGTACTCAAGTTCACAAGCAAGGAAATCGATCCGAGCACAAACGAGCCAGAAGAAGGTGATGGGTATCCGGATGAGTACCAGGTTGAGGATCTGTACCTCACTGGTGCTGACTACGTTGTTCCCGCATATGCAGGCAGTTTTGATAATGTCTGGGAACAGTCGAATGGCGATTCGGCGACTGAAACACTGCAGTTGGGTAACATGAAGAGCATAACTGGTACGTCGATAGAGTTGCGAGCTATCCCTAATGACGAACGAATGACTGACGCGTTACAGATGCAACCGAGCAACTCACCAAGACTCTATCCCTCCAGCCTCTCGAAGGTACAGATGTCGCTTTGTCAACATCAACCCATACACTCAAACTCTACGGCAAGACTATCACCGGTGGCAAGGTTGCTGCTACGGTACGGATGGCCTTCAGTGCCAAGACTGGTGTGACCATGAAGATCGATGTAAGGAGCGAGGAAGAGGGTGTTGCAGCATTGGTGGTGGGTAGCGTGGCATAGGTGATGGGTGAACATTTGTTTAGTAGCGTGTCTTGAAAGCGTAAAAGGTCAACAGGCTTCTTAGTAGAACTCTTGGTATCCACAGCTCAATGATTATGACATATATGTTACAGATTGAGGAATTGAACCCACAAGCGTTCTGAAATACCTGATCTTCCCCGCACGTTCCTATGAACCAAGTGCATCGATGGCCTTGTTGACGATACCCCGTATCTGTTTCCACCGTCTCACCACCGTCTCCCTCTGGCCTTCCGCAACCTCATCTCCTCCTTCGCCCAAGTCCAGCTGCTCTACCTCTTCTAAGGTATCCACTATCTCCCTCGAATACTTAGTCAACACATCCGCTAGGTATTTATTCAGCCTGGCCTGATCCCTAACTCCATCATCATCCCCCGACACAAAAGCCGAATACCTCCTCGAATCCAGCACCAACAACCGAAGCACAGCTTGCGTCCTATAGCACACAATCTCCTCTTTGCCCGCACCGAACAACGTGTAGTCCCCATGAAAGCCATCCTCCTTCAGCGCATCCACCTGCTGCTTATCCAGCAAAGGCAGCAACAAGTGATCCAAAGGCAGCGTATCATGAACATTTTCCTCAAGGATGAAACCGTACTCAACGAGCAGAAAGTCGCTTGTGTGAGACCCATACGTGACAAAGACTTCTTCACCGGCGGAATACGATCGGTCGGCCGTCACAGAGTAACCGTGGCTGTTGTGTTCGGGATGACATCCGTTGTCGGAGTGGTTGAAGTAGTCGATTAGCGGGCACATGCAGTAGCAGTCGTCTGCTGTTAGTTTTGCACGTCGTTTGGGTAGGCTGGGGTGGGCGTTGGGCAGGTCTGGGTATTCCCAGTAAAAGGTTCGGGTGTTTACTATCAGCCAGGTGTATGTGTAGAGGGACTTTGTGATGGCGGGAGGAAGGTGTGGTGAGAGTGTTGACCAGTCTTTTTCTAGGTTGGAGCGTTGTTTCGTGAGGAGCGTTTTGCAGGCTGGTGGTAGGAGGGACTGGAGTGATGCGGGGTAGTGGAATGGCATGGTTGATGCGAAGTCTTGTTGTGTGGGCCAGACGTCTTGCCAGAGTTGGTAGCCGTGTGGTTCCTGGCCGCTGTACCATAGAGAGAGGGAGGCGGCGAGTTTTCCATGGACGGTGGCGTTTTCGGGAAGCTTGAAGGCTTGAATTGAAGGGAGGGCCACATGGACGAGAGATTTGTTGGAGACGTGGACTAACTTGTCCCCTTTCTTGATGATTTAGTTGAGGGGTTTGAGTTGGGGGTAGCTTTGGTGGGTTGGACTGACTTTGATATCTTTTGCGGCTACGATGCCCATTCCTCGACCGCTGAAGCGTGCTGGGGCTATTCCATCGATTTCAACGCCGTTGGATTTGGCCCAATCGACGAATTGGGTATGTTGTTCGCCGGGGTCTAGTGCTGCAGTCATGGCTGCGGTGGATGATGCTGATAGCCTAAAGGCTGAAAGTACTCCTTTGATCCTGACTCTCACATCTGTTAGAACTGTAGATATCTCATTGGTTGAGACAGTCAATTATCGTACCGAAGGTTCCTTCCGGAAGCGGATACACAGTATCTTGATTTGAAGTTGTTCTTTGTAGGGTCAGGATCCGAAGAATTTGGTGAGCTACCTTGAACGGAAGCCTATCCACTGCAAAGTAAAATCTCGTTTATTGAAAAAGCAATCGAAGATGTTGCAGCTGACAAGTCCGGAAGTTGGACAAAGAGTCATCTGCTAATACTTTGGCGTGGCTGGTGCATGTGGCGTATCGATAAGAATCGCGTCATGATATCGGCTCGAACCAGATGAGAACCATCAAACCCACGCTGTCCGCAACCCTCCCCAAAACGCGTAAATGGCGAGAAGTGTGCGACCATGTCAGCTTCAAAAGCTGGCGTCGGGCTCAATCTTCCAAGCGTCATCATTCGCGCAATCAACACGCTGTTTTTCAGTCCTAAATCGCCCTCCGCCAAACTATGAGGGTCACATACCATTGACGCGTACGGAAAGGTTAGGGCTGGCAATCGGCTCGGGTCTTGGAAGTTTCCTGGACCCGCGAAGAGGAGGTAGATACGATCCAGAGTCTTAATGCCATGGTCGCTGCTTACACAAGCCAGACCTCATTGCATCCTTTGGCGAAGCTACCGCGCAACCCTACTTCATTTACAAGCTTCGTGATCGCATGCTTCTCAATCCAACGGGCCGACGAATACTACGCGACCGACCACGCTTGACATCTACCTCGCTCGACATTCCACGCCTCCGCAAACTCCCTCCGAACACATTGGGCTATGCATACGCGGCATGGCTTGACCGCGAGGGTGTTTCGCCGGACACACGGGCGCCAGTACAGTACATAGACGACGAGGAGTGTGCATATGTCATGCAGCGGTATCGCGAATGCCACGACTTCTACCATGCCTTGGTTGGACTACCCGTCTTTCGTGAAGGCGAGGTCGCTCTCAAGGCATTCGAATTCGCCAATACCGGCCTGCCTATGACTGGCTTGGCTGTGTTTAGCGCTTTCACCCTGAAGAAGGCTGAATGGAGACGTTTCTGGGACGTTTACGGACCGTGGGCTACACGCAACGGCGCACAAAGTGACGATGTAATCAACATCTACTGGGAGGAAGAACTGGAGACGGATATCGACGAGCTAAGAGCTAGATTCAGCATTGAGAAGCCACCGGATCTGCGAGCTATGCGCAAGGCGGAACGTGAAGCGCGCAAGAAAGAGAAGGAGGCTAAAGAAACCATGGCACGGGCTGCCGTATGAGATTTCAACCATGTACATTATCGTGTAATAACCACCTAGCACATGTCTCGACCTTGGCCTGTCATCTGCGTAGGATAAGTCCCATGCAGGTTACTTGCTCAAACCAGCAGGCGACACAAGGATGCGGGGTCTCCACACGGGACGGCACCCGCCAGCCGAATCGTCCACTCCAGACGACCATTTCCTATGAAAGCGCGACCCACCCGCACCATGCAGTTTGCTCGCTGCCTACATCAATCTCCGATCATCGACTGCTGTCATGGCCGAAAAACGGAAGCATGGCGAATCTCCCGGATCTGACCAATCACGACTTCCACTTGATGACGGCCGCCCGTCTACCAGCCCAGCGGGCAGTCTAACAGTCGTCGAGAACTACCCCAGAAAACGTATAGCGATAGCTGTAGGCAACACTACCCCTGACTTCCGACATTAATTACTTATAGCTTGTAGTGCAATGTTTGTAGATTTCGGAAGACACGCTGTGACGCCCAGAAGCCGGTTGGTCAGACAAAATTGCATTCATATATGCTTTTGTTGACATTTGCAGTCTTGTGGTTTCTGTACTGAGCTCGGAATTGAGTGCACCTACCGAAAGCCAACAGTCGGCGACCGCACAAAACCAGTCGGCCCCCCGTCAGAGGCCTGGTCAAGCATTGAAAGACGACTGGCACAGGTTGAAGCCAAGCTAGAATCTACGAATCAATATGCGCCTGGTTCTGCAGCACTCTCACCCAACACGTCTACTCATAGCGATATGCACCCTCCTCCAGAGTCCAGATCACGACACTCGAGCGCCAATCGAATGGCAATTGAAACGATCAACAATTCCACCATGTCTGTTCCATCAGTTGGTACACCAGTATCGTATGACTTTGCTTATCGACAGACAAGCACTGAAGGAAAAACTCCGCGGCCTAGCCTCACTACTTTTCACGCACCTTCTTACATCCATGTGGAGAGCTGGGACTACACAGCTGACTTTTACGATGATGAGATCTTAGCCGGTGAACAACTGGCAGATCAGTGTGACGCAGTCATCTCATGCCCAGTGGATCTATCCCGACGAACGTGCCGACGACTCCAACAATCTTTTGTGGAAAACTTCCTTCGGTGGACACCTATCTTCGATCAACGAACCTGCGTCAGTGCGCTTGAACAGGCAGACTCAAGTAGCTTTGAGCACCCTAGTGCATCAACATGCCTAGCATTTCTGATACTGGCCCTTGGTGCAATCTCTGAAGATAGGAATGAGAATACGAATAATCTCACTCCAGGGTTGGAGTACTTTGCACGTGGATGTCGCCTCCTCGAGCACCTATCCCTTCGCATCGGACTAGCTAGCCTTCAGTGTCGGATACTGCAAGCTTCGTACTTCAAGTTCGCTATCAGACCACTGCAGACATGGAACTCCATCACGCAGGCTGCGAGAGACTGCATGCATATCTTGAGCTCCAGAACTATGCAACGATACAGCCCATCGGACCAAGAAGCATTCAACCGAGCGTTCTGGGCTTGCTCCACCGTGCTGCACGAGTAAGTTGTCCAAGCGTGGCTTGCATTGTTAGCCTCGATAGCGAAAGACTTTACTAACGTAACATGTGCTTAGACTTGAGGCGACATGTAAAATGCATCCCATCGGACTACGCCACTTTCATGAATTGGTGCCGCTTCCACAGTTCGAAGAAGAGGATTCAGGCTTCTACTTCTTCCTGGCGCAGATCAGCCTGAGGAAGTTCCTGACACAGACTCTTGAAGTTGTCGGTTACTGTAAGTGTCTCTGCAGAGCCGATATCGCTACGTGCACTGACCATGCGACCGCCCCTTCCAGTTACAGGACAGGTCATCTTCGCACCCGTCGTCGTTGGCGAGCTACGTAAACAAGTGCGCGAATGGTACCATCATCTACCTTCTGCCGTTCGGTTTCCCTTGGATTCGACGCCGCTGTTTGACTCTAGGAAGTCTTTCCTAAGGATTCAGTACATGGCTCTACACGTAGTGCTTGGCTGGCCTTCAGTACTCAGGATACTCGAGAACAGCGAAGGGGAGGCCAGTGCTCAGGAAAACGAAACGATTGCAGTCACAAGGGAGCATGCGCGACACTGCATAAAGAGTTCAGCCTTGCTTCTAAGTGTAGCGGACGAGCAACTCATGGGAAGAAAGATGGGAACGCACTTTACACTATACCCGTATGGTCATTGCGTTCAAACATGTTGGTGTCTAACTAACTTTATCCAGGACTTTTGCGTGCTTCGCAACCTTACTCATAGCGTACAACCATACGGCTCTCTCTTTCATCGAAGAAACCAAGCAGGAGCAGCATATACGCAATGGATATGAATTACTGCGGCCATGGACGCATCTACCTCTGGTTCGACGAGGATTGGAAAGGGCACGCATTCTAATGCAGCAAAACGATCTTGCGCATATCTTCCACGCATATGCAGATGAATCACCTCAGCCTGCGTCTGGCATTAGTCCACCAGTAGCAACGAGTAACGACTGGAGATCTCCACATCCAGGGTTCAGCATCAAGCCATGATAGCCGCGCGGACCCTGAGATGGCATCTGAAGTTCCGTAGGAAGACCGATCGCAATGCGGCATGGTTCGATTTAGGGAATCCCACGGGCTTAAACCACGCCACAAAGACATCATGCCAATCGGAAGATATTTGTGACAACCGGTATACACGACCGGCCCGAGGTCTCGTTACGAGCGTCCGATACGAACCTGGTCTTGAGTTCTTTCGCTGTTACGCCAGGGCGCCCTGCGGACAGATCCGTGCGAATGGGATCCTTCCCACACGGAACAACAATCACAATCCGTAGATGCATGTCGATGCAGGACCGTTGATCCACATTTGAAAATCGGTCGGTCATTAGCAGCGTATACCTGGCATTCTTGGACTGCGCACTCATTCCGCGTTTACGGATACACGACGGAGAGGGCTTTTGTGTGGTGATGCGCACACAACCACCACTGGCACCAGCATAATAATTTACACGCAGAGAACCCCACGACAGTCTACCAGAATGCAGAAGAAGTTGCGGCAATACCACCGAACACGGCCTGCATGCTATCTCAAGTCTATCGATCAACATCACTGCCCGCCTGCGGAGCAGAGACCACAATGATCACCAGTGCTCAGACATCAGTCCCTAGGGTCTACGTAGTAAGACCGTGCTGAACAAATAGATGTTCGAGCTGCGAAACATCCTGGCTGAACCCCAAGTGTTCGCCTGCCGGCAAACACGAGCCTTGCATCATAGCTCACCTTAAGATCACCTGAATATGCAGTTGGGGATCCTGCAAAGTGACCTGAGCCCGGCAAGATCCACATCAGTCCAAGCCATAACATCGTGCAGCTTCGCGATCTCTGGGGTAGATGCGTCCTATCGAGTGCGTTGCGCTTATCAGTCACCAACCGACCGCTCAGGTGGCCGCTGCGGCTGTGATTTGAGTAAGGGCTGTCCTGCCTTGCACGACTGTTACCAGCATCAGCTATGAGATGCGAGAAGCGCTACGTCCGCAGACCCGTCATTCATCTCGCCATCTTAATACGATCTGATTCTCTGAATCAGCTTTGCATGCAGTGTCTTGTTTCATTCATTCTAAAACCAAACATTCTCAGTAAAACACCACGCTAGTCCCAAAGGAGCAAGTTCCATCGCTAGTGTACAAACGAGCGTTGTCTCATAATACCTAGATATCAATCGTTGATTATCTTTGTTATCCTTGTGCGACACATTTTGTGGCCCGCCATGGGACACAACAGACAACCCGAACTCTACGCAGCGGCGCTTACAACTTATACTGCCGCTGCAGTCGCGCTTGTCTTTCGGTTGGTTGCACGCCGTCAGACCAGCCATCCGTTGGTATGGGAAGATATCTTGGCCGCGATTGCGTTTGTATGTATACTCGACTTTGTATTGACACAAGACTTACAGTTGTGTAGTCTACCGGAAGTGCTTTCACTTTCATCAGCATATACAGTATGTACTATTCTGCGGTCTTAACAACTAAGCGCTGACGATGACCAGAGATGCGATGGGGACTCGGAAGGCCACTACACCACATCGACATGGCAGAAGACGAGGTTGTGTACCACTATTTCTTAGAACTATGGGTAGATATGTGGTTCTACACGTTTTCCGTCGGACTCTCCAAGTTTGTCATACTAGGCTTCTACTGGAGAACGTTTTCACTTTCAAAGATCCGACAGCCTATCAGAATCCTTTTCGTTTGCTCGGCATGTTGGATCATTGTCAGGGTAAGTCAGCGACCTATATCGACTTCTGAGTACGGTGCGCTGATCTCACAAGGTTGTCCTCGTCACGATGCAATGTCAGCCGATTCAGAAGTTCTGGCACAAAGACATCCCAGGCAAGTGCACATTGCCGCCGATGATGTCGCTCTTTGCTGCGGCCATACCTCATTTCATTCTTGAGGTCGCGATATTGCTCTGTCCGCTCTATGAGATATCCAGACTGCATATCTCGACAGCACGCAAGGTTGCTGTAGCGGCAATGTTCGCGGCTGGCCTATTGTAAGTCGCACAAAGGCAATACATCAACATTTTACTAACATATTCGAAGGGTCTGCGGCTCAGCACTCGGTACCATTGCTCATACGGTCGCCCTTGGCAGAAACCCCCATCCAGATCTCACATACGACGGCATCGACGACCAGATATGGGCAGTATGCGATGTGAATTTGGCATCCTTTGCAAGTCAGTTATGGACGCTGCATCTTTTCCTCGAACCAAGTCGCTGACATTCATCGTCTAGCATCCCTCCCTCTCCTCCGACCCGCCCTGCGCTCATGCGGCGGTATATTCACCCATCTCCGATCAAACAAAAGATCCGTTGGCCCCAGTAATTACGGCAATCCAAACTCCGCACCGACCTTTGGTAGTGCTCCTAAGAGGGGAGGTAGCCGGACATTGACGTCTACCTGTCCCGATACTGAGTCTATGATTGAGCTTTCTGCGGACTTTTGTACCAAGAGAGTTGAGAATCGTGGTAGGGTAGCGGCCTCGCACGAGCATGGGAATGAGTGTGGGAGCGAGTGTGGTATGCACCATGCCGCAAGTCTTGAGCTGGAAGATCGGCGTCTTGTGTAGGTGCGGAGTGAGATAGAAGCCGTACTTAGATTTCCTTCAAACCATGAGTATGGACTGAAAGCCGGTAATCTCTTATACACAACAATATCCACCAAGCTGACCGTACAATGTTGAAGTCACGCTTGGAGATGTTACTTTGAGCACCAATTTACAGCTCATGCAATCCAGAAGTCCCTTTTCTTGTAGGATGAAGACACTGGAGGATCTTCAGCCCCTGCCTTAGCCTTGAATGGTTGCAACCATAGACCGACTCGCTCCCAATTCGTCCCTACTCTGGATACGAGGAGGAAAGCAAAAACTGTCTCCACAGGTTCATTGTACCGATCTTTCATATCGACAGCGCGAAATAGAAATATAGCGTAGCAAGTTCTGATCTCAATCGCTCCAGCACCAACATGTGAGAACTCCAGGCTCTCGAATGGGCAGTCGAGGCGCGCCATCTCTGACCAGTAGTTATGGCCTCCACCTCGCAATACCGATGCATCGTGGCCATGTACCACGCGACCAAGGTGTCTTCCAACAACAGCTCTCTTGCGTAGCATAACCTTGAATGATGGCGCTGAAACAAATATCCGCTGAGAACAGTGGTGCCGCTGGGTAGAATTCGGACTGGCTTTCTCAAACTCTTGCAAAGACTGCAAAAGCCCATCCTTTTTCTCAAATAGGATCGCTAGGTCTTTTGGGACCACCAGGGTCGTGTTCGGCGTTCTTCGTATATGATACACAGCATTTGGATTGTGCAACCATCCTGTCCAAGAATAACTTGGGAAGCCTAACCGGCGATTGATTTTCTCATTCTGGATATCATGGCGCCAGCATAATCCAACGAGAAGCCCGTTCATATACCCGGATGTATCGAAAGGCAAAGGTATACCCCAGTATGATCTGATAGGTGGCTCTTGTTGCTCGAACTCGCCCAAAATACCATCGAATGCATTGAGAATGTCAACATAGTAGGTGAGGGCTCTCTCAGTATACGACTCAATCAAATCGTAGATGATCTCTCCGTCCACATTTGACTGCCACTTCTCTAACATGGAATGATAGCGTATCTGAGAATGCTGTAGGTCTTCGCTAATGACGCCTTCATAGCAATCGAAAAGTACTTGTTTCTCGGTGAAGATGAGCCTCCGCCTTGAAAAGTAGCCTTCCTGAAGCGTCCAGCCACGTCTGAACCATCCTTCGGTGTAGTATACCAAGGCCCAAGGCCAGGGCGAGAACGTGACTAGACTGAGTTCGTTATATCGACCTTTTGTTTGCACATTTTCCCGTGGTATCGAAACTCCCAACAGCCCTGAACTGGCATCCGCGTCCCCGGCTGCTATTATCGTAATCTGAGCAGAGCGGTAGATGAGGTGCATTTGGCGAATCTGGTGCTTGAAATCGTTTTCGTCCTTCTGAAGAACGCAATACGCGTCGATCCAAAGATAACGAATGCCGAGACTCTGGGTTACTCGAATAGCATCCTCTATCGTTGAAGGGAGTCTTGCTGGAAGCACATCTGTTTGCGGATCATGAGACTCGCCATTGCTTTTTCCCCACCGATAGCTCAACGCGGCATACGGGATGTCTCCAGAAGGTCTGACGATTGCTCGTGTGTGACAATCAATCACCCTAAGCTGGCTTGGCCGGCTACTGAATGTTTCCTTCTGTTGATTGCAGGTACTATGATGGGTTAAGCAGTTCTGTAGGTGTTGTCTCGTAGCGCTGGATTCAAGCCAGGTCGGAACTTCGTTTACTCGTAGCGGGGACGGTTGAAGCTCTGGAGTTTTGATCTCCGCGGACACACCAAAAGGAACTACCAAGCTAGGATGGCTAGCAACCTGAAGCTCGGGCTTTCTGTCTTCAAAGTCATAGAATATATTGACATGAGACGACAGCTTCGTCACGGGCCCAGACTTCGTAAATACCCTCATCAGGCTTTTCCCGCGGTCAAGTTGGAGATAGCGTGGTTGTAGCGAGTCGTTTCGCGGGAATAAGTTGACCTTTGTCGCCAAGATGAAGTCACAGAACTCGCAACCAGACTGCGACTTCCATATCCATATAGTGGTGGGGTCAGAAGATCTTGTGATCCACACTTCATGTCCCTTCTTTAGCGGTATGCCTTCGTGATTGCCTTTCAAGATCGCAATGAGATCGATATCTGAACAATTGGCGCATAACATCTTGGCAGGACTCGAACCATACGGGTTATGTCGTAGAACATTTGGAAGAAGACGGGTATATGGTCTTGACGCAGGAGCTGCTGCCTAGAGCTATCTAAAAAGTAGGAACCAATTCGTTATCGAGGCCATGTGTCGGCCGCCGAGCTAGGAAGGCTTAGCGCGCCCTCGCGCACACCTTTTAGGTACGTGTTACACCTTAATTACGCCTTTTAAGACACCTAGTAGAGGGCCGTTACCTGTTTAAGACTTAACTTTTTTTAGATCTAAGATACCCTATAACGCTGTTAACAATAAAACATATTGAGGCTATGGGTGTGCATGCAGGAAGCGGGGTCGTGTTCTGCGCGCTTGTCTCGTATCACCACATGCGGCAGGAACCTATAAGCCTACAAAAGCACATCTACTAGTGACATGAGTACGGCTTCATCCAGCCACTAAATCATCGTCGATAGGTGTATGTTCCCAGTCCCGACAACCACAACCACAACATCCTCCCCAATGTACACAACCAAGGTTCCCTCGCGAAAAGACCCCTCAGGCTCGAGCGCGAAAGACAGAGAAGACCACAACATCCTTCAGCCCTTTAGCACAGCCAATACGATCCAAACCCTATCAAACCACCCTACACCTGATGTTCACTACGCATTGGTCACTTAATACCCATCTTTGGCTTTGCATACGTGCACGTCCAGAGTTCAGCTGCTACAGTCCTCACAATCTCTTCTCGCAGTCCCATCATCCAATAGGTCATGGCATTAATCACACACAAACGAGCTTATCCAAAGGTCGCAACATAGCCATCGATTTCAGTGTCACAGAAGACGTAGCGTTACATATATTGAAATGGATAGATAATCCGATTCCACCTCTCACACCCCATAATGAGTGAAAAGCCCAGTTCCCAGATTTGGTATCATCGAAAAAGAAAAACGCACAAGCACGCTCAAACGCCAAACCCAGACAAAAAGAAGATGATTGCACGTTGATGAGCTTGAGTGCTTAGTACGCATTACCGCCCCAACCCGGTGTCTTGCCCTTGCCCTCATGTGGCGAGTAGTATTCGTCTTGCTCCATAACTGGACTGATGGTTATAGACCCTGGCTGGTGCTGCGGCGGCCCATACCAGCCGTTCCCTCCCGCAGGCACATTACTGTAGTAACCTCCTCCTCCGTGTGCAGCCTCCTCACCGCCAAGGTTGTTGAATGCTTGTGTGCGTGGTGTCATGGGCGACTTCATGCCGCCAATGGTACCGGGTGTACGGGGTAGTTGTTGGAGTTCCCACATGTGCTGCCATTGTTCGTCGGCAGTCATCTCGTTGTCGTAGGGCGATGAGGCCCACTTCTCCTTCTCGGCTTTCTTTTCGGCTCTGCGCGCGGCGTGGGCTTGTTTCTGGGCGGTGGTTGGGATGAGGGAGTAGGCTGATAGGGCGAAGAAGACGACGTAGATGGTGCTGTTGGGGTAGAGTTAGCGTTTTACTCGGATGGGTACGGGTGGTAGGGGACGTACAGCATGATAATGCTAACGGCGAAACTGCTCTTGGCCTGCATGCAATAACTCTTGATGTGCTTGTCGTCCACGATGTTGCAGTTCTTGGTGAGGTACCAGGGTGCGCCGTTGTTTACGTGCTCTGGGTCAATGGTGTCGGGTGCGGTTTGGATGTGGATGCCGTATGCCCATAGGGCCATGAGTGCGATGTGGAGGAGGAGCGAGAGGATGGGGAAGAAGACCTTGAGGAGCCATAAGGTTGTTTTGACGAGCCAGAAGAACATGCATACTACGCCGATTACGAGGTGATATTGGGTATTACTGCGATTGTCAGTACACTATTCAGGTTGGAAGTGGAGTGGGATGATAGCAAGGATATGGACTGCAGTGTTGGTTCGATATTTACTTACAAGCTACTCCATACTAGAGGTGTATCTACTGGCCGGTAATTCGCAGCCGCGTACAATACGGTACTTGGCTTCGAGTTGAAGCCAAACTCGCCTCCCACTCTCCACAGAATGGTGCGATAGAGGTTCGGCGATGCAATACCGAAGAGCGCAAGGTTGGCCACGGTGAATGGCAGTTCAAAAATCATGAGAAAGTAGATGATTTTCGGCAGGCGCCATGTTCGCGATATGAAAAAACCCATGACGGGCGTTCGAAGCCGTCACGCTCGACAGTGATGTGCGGTGGTGGGCGTTGCCGTATACGTGATGCTGCGCTTTCAGCTGCGCTCGGACGAATCGCGATTGCGGGATAAGGCTGAAATGCGCCGTCCAGTCTTGTTGCGCAATTGTCGTTAACCGAAAGTCGATAGCTGGAGATGCTACCAAAAGCCTCCGATGGTCACACACAGTCGTTGTTCGTGCTCGAGGTCCGGACGTACAAGAAAAGCATCAGCATCCAGCTCTCCGGGGCCTTTCACGCTCTTAACAGCCATGTAAGCCCCCATCTTAGCCGACGCCAGTGAGGGAGCTGAGGGGCGAAAGAGCCATCGCAGGCGCTGAGTGGCACGCGCATGCTGCGCGATCACACAGCTTGTGAGGTGTGACGGCGAATCAGACTTGCAGGTCGGCGCTGCAGGCGGGAGCTAGACGGCTTGTTCCTTGCGCCATCCCTGCTCTTGTACCGAGGAATGTGGGTTAATATCGACGAATCGGGTAATTCAATATAGAACTCCAAGGTAAGAGGTCGGATGAAGTGGAAGGCCTTATCGCGGGGTTGCACAACGCAAGCGATCGCTTGCTGTGCCGTACAGTGCCTGCGGGCAGGAAACGGCGTGTGGCGCGAATAACGTTGATGGCCATGGTTCCCAGACTGAGTTTTGAAATGTGGAGCTAGTCTAGTGGAGCAGTCCCTCGACTATCACGAGCCGTCTGGAATTTACCGTCTTTGTGGGCGCGTAAATTCGAGTTAATGGTGTGAGCGTCGTACATACAACAGCGCTTGCCGCTGCGACGGGATCATTGTCGAATGCAAAACCTAGTATTGATCGCCTTGAACTATCCAATGGTAAATTACCTTAACCTTTCCATTACCACCACTTCTCGCACAGCACTCTCTCTGGAGCGACATTATCCTGCTCCTTGATAAACTTCACCATGTCGTCGGTCATGTCTGGGGGCCCGCAGACATAGAAGACGGTGGATTGGGCTTCCTTCCTGTTGCCAACTGCGCTAGAGAGGGCAATATCGTCAATGCGATGCGTCCAGGCACACACTGGCACTTCGGTAGCCGAGTCAATTTGCGGCAGCGTCAGAGACATGAGTGGATGTATCAAGTCACCTTCATTTGTGCCCATCTCAGATCCGTCCCACGTGCCTGTAAAGAAAAGCTCAAGGCGGTCTTTGGTCACCTTGAATCTGGGTATGCGGAACAGGTCGAGCACATCTTGCAGGAAGAGGACTTCGCTCGGGTCGGTTTCGCGCGAAGGGACTTTGGTAGAGTATAGGAAGCGTACTTCGAGGTTCGGGTAGTTCTGGTTTATGTAGGTCATCATTGACATCATAGGGCTGTGGGGTGTTAGCGGGCGAGGCGTGCGACTTTGTCACGGCACAGCTGGACGCACTTAATTCCGACACCTCCTGCGATGAAGATGGCGCGCTTAATCTTTTTCATGTCCAGACACGGGGGAGGCCACACGAAGCTTCCGCCTACACGCACAGTGACCTCCTTGCCTAGTATGTCCTCCGCCGGCTGCCACAGCCATGCTGCCGGCGGGTTATTAGGGCTTTTCTGGACAGCTAGCTCGAAGTAGGGAACAAAATCGGGATCCGACCGCGGCAGGGCTTCGGAGGGCGACGAGGTAATGGTGAAGCCACCGGCCTTGTCTACATCGGGCACAAAGACATCAAGCCATTGGCCGGGGAGGAACTGACTTATCCATCAGCGCATGTCGCGAGCGAGATGGAGATCGTCATACGTTGAAGCCGTCCTTTTCCTTGATTTCGAATTTAAAGCGCTTGATCCGGTCGTTGACGGGCGTGACTTTGGCGACGGTGGCCGTGTGCAGGTCGTTCTCTCGCGGTTCCGTCGCGGTGCGCTCTTGGTGGCTTAGGATCGCTTTTGCTGAGCGAGCTTGTGGCATGCTGCTCAGCATGCTTCTCTGCGAGGAGAGTCGTCGCTGGAATGAGTGATGGGACAAGAGTCGACGGGCAGGAAGGCTCATAGCAAGAAGAAAGTATCTTACCACGAGGAAAATGTAAGTGGGGACACCAGGTAGAGGGGTCCAATGCGTTATGCAGGATGATCCACTGGGCGGGAGCTTGGACGACAGCCGTTAAGGCTAGCTGACTTCACCCTCACCACGGCATCGGCATCATCTCGGGCCTCCAAATATAGCCAAGTGGCATTGGCCATGAGCCTCCGAGAATGGGCTGACTGCCATCGTGTCGCACGCTGAGCTGTCGCGTTTGACATGTGCGAGTGCATGGTGTGTACTAAGCAAGCTATGACGCGTGCGGGAGCCGCGGCTGTCACCGGAGAGCTGAACACCATAAGACAGCAATTGCTCTGCGTCCTCCTTTGACACGAAATCACCTGCACGTGCACTGCCCAACACACGACCTATCGTCACTGACTCTACTGCTCAGCCGACAAACACCTCCAATATCTCCAACTCTTACCTGATTCAGGCACAATGTCCGTCGAGGAAGGCACCCATGCCTTGGCTGATGGCAAGCAGCTATATACGAAGACATTCAAGGTATGGTGGAGCCATAGCAATAAGATCGACATTAACGCAATGAGCAGACGGACGGTCCGGCCAAAGCCCGACTTGTGTTCATCCACGGATTCTCAGACGTACGGCTCCCATGGACACAATACTGAATGCATGACTAACGTTGCCCCTAGCACGGTGAGGCCATCTAGCTACATGAACAAGTCCCTTCTGACACAGGTCAAGTCAACACGTACGGCGATTTCTTCCCCCATCTAGCGTCTAGAGGCATTGAAGTTTATACGTTCGACCAGAGGTGCGCACGTGCACTGCTTCCAATATTCACTACTGACAAGGCACAGAGGATGGGGCCGATCTGTAGCAAAACACGCCGAGCGAGGAGACACGGGCCCGACTACCCAGGTGCTGGACGACATTACCTCCTTCATCAAGACATTGATCCCGAGCCCTGTCCCGCTCTTCATGATGGGGCATTCCATGGGTGGCGGTGAAACGCTCTGCTATGCCGCACAGGGTCCGGAGGAGGTGCTCAAGCACATTCGCGGCTTCCTCTTGGAGTCACCCTTTATCGACTTTGACCCCAAGTCCAAGCCATCACCCATCACGGTCTTCTTCGGTAGGGTCGCTGGAAAGCTTATGGCAAAGCGTCAGTTGACCAACAAACTGGATCCAAAACTCATCTCGCGAGACCCGGAGGTCTGCAAGCGATTCGATGAAGACGAGCTCTGCCATGATACCGGCACACTCGAGGGGCTCGCGGGATTGCTCGATCGCACCAATGCTTTGTCCAGTGGGAAGATCATCATACCTGACAACGTAGGAGAGGGTGGCGTGACGAGGATCTGGATTGCTCACGGTGAGCAGGACGGCATCACCAGCTACCATGCCTCGAAACGCCTGTTCGATGCCTTGCAAGTCAAGGACAAGGAGTTCAAATCGTACGCCGGACACTTTCATCGCTGTAAGTACATGTCTGACCCAGTCCATGGTATTGGCACTAACCTTGTCAGTACACGACGAGCCTAGTCCTGATAAAGATGTGTTCCGGGACGACGTCGTAAACTGGGTACTGGCTCGCGTGACGGACCCTGTGGGTGATGATAGTGCGAAGCCAAGGCTATGAATCTGTGTAGAAGCTCTCTAGAATAGGAAACAAGCGCGCTGGCAACGTAATCACGATACGAATATCTTTAGGTGTGCATTGCTTGGCCCAACTCGTATGTACACGCGCGGCTCCCGAAGCGCAAGGCGGAGGATCTCCAGGCCCATGTCCCTGCAGGAAATTGACGACGGCACGGGAGTGATGCATGAATGTTGCAATGACATAGTGTGCGGTTGTTAAATTTGGCAACGTCCGTGATCGGTAGTAGTAGAAGTCATCACTATTGATTGGACTATCCCCTTTTTTACCTGTAGTAGGTAGAGTATGAGATTGCTTGCAGATTGGAAATATACACCGGCATTGTGTTCTCCTGGTCCTGCTATTAGAAGTGCGGTAGTGTGCATCTTGCGTGAGTGGGACGGATGGTGGCGCCCCCACAATTGCCGTGTGTTGACGCAAAAGGCGCCATGAGAGGCCAGGCTCGAGGGCCGATAGCAACCGCGAAAGAGGCTCCAAATTGTCTTAGAAGTATTCGCAGCGAGTGGCATTGAGGCATCCCGCAGTACTGAGAGGCGCAACGGCTGCCACCCCATCCCATGTTACTGCGCACCGCCTGCAGCAATGGACATGGCCTGCGTGTCCAGTTTAGCCAGCGTGCACGCGTCTCACTCCACGACTCCTCTACGCAACCCTCGGTGCGACGACACGTCCTATCACGTCACGCCTACAAACCTCCTACCTGCCGCCCCAAATTGCGCGTCCTGTGCACGCAGACGACGACCAAAGGCGCCCAGTACCTCGCCATCCCGTCGCATACAGCGCCTCTCCGCAACTGGTCGACGACCGTCCACCGCAAACCACTCTTTTCCCCTTCCACCATGACGGGCGCCACGCAGAAAAGAGGCCACGCCGGTCATCACCACCATAACCACGACAACACCTTCCTCTTGTCCAAGAACAAGAATGACGCCGGCGTGCGCATTACCAAGATTGGCCTCTACGTCAACCTGGGCATGGCTGTCAGCAAGGGCTTCGGAGGCTACGTCTTCAATAGTCAGGGTGAGATGGCTAGGCGCGTTGATACGAACGTCTACTAACGCCTGTCAGCACTCATTGCCGACGCCATCCACAGCCTCACCGACCTCGTGAGCGACATCATGACGCTGGCAACAGTCGGCTGGTCCCTCAAGCCCCCAACGGACCGCTTTCCCAGCGGGTATGGAAAGGTGGAGAGTCTGGGCTCGCTCGGTGTCAGTGGCATATTGCTCGCAGGCGGTTTCTTCATGGGCTGGACCGCGCTGCTGGCCCTCTGCAAGCAATTCTTCCCCGAAGCCGCCGAGGTAGCGGAGCAATGGGGGCTTATACC